TGGTTTGCAGGTGTACTATGGCAGAAAGAAAATAGTACCTACATGAAACTGCTCACAACAAGGTCTGTGGATTATCTCGAGTAACCAGGTCATGAATTCTGTAAAGATTCTGCAAAGACACATTGTTATTGAGTTTTTAAAATGTATTTTTTGGTGTGTTGAGCACCACAAGCCGAGCGCCATCTAGTGCCATTATATACAAGAGAAGGCAGACATCTCTACAGCCGATATCCCCAACACTTGGCAACTCACACCAAAACAATCCAGACTGATAAATGGCACTACAGGTAAGAGGAAAAATGTGTATCTCAGATGTGGGGGTGACCTGTCCCTTTAAATGACCTCAGGCATTTAATAATTCTACAGGAACCTAAAAACATGCTATCAAGTTATAAACACAGCTGAGTACAATAAAATATCACATGGGCTGGAGGGGATTGAGTTTTAACATCTTGACCTGTGTCCCTATGCTCAGCTCCCGTGACAAGTAACATAACCCGGGCTCACACAGTAAATATATCCTGAACCCGTCTCTGGCCCTAAATTTATCCCTGTGAACATGTGACCTGCATAAGAGGTAAAGAGTGTTTGAGCCAGTCTCTCACAAAATTTGACAGCTGCACTCCAGCCAGAGAACACCCACCACCCCCGCCTCCCCTCCGCCCGCCCCGCTGCCTGTGTGTCGGCCACATGATCATAAACAAACTGTACATGTCAAGCCCAGCATCAGTGAGTTACATAACGTGTCATGTGTCTCTTCTTCACACAATGCGAAGGCCACGAAAGCATATTATGACATTTACTCTACATGTTCCAGTAATCTTACTGGTTTCCTTGAGCAACATCAAGCTCTTACGTTGAGTTGTTCTGTGGGGAAGGCTCCGATTCCCACTCTGGTAGTGTAGGCCTTTGATACACCAAACACTTCACCAATATTCAGCGGAGGGATGCCGAGACCAGTGCACGCGCCGCCCACGGTGCAGTTTGACGATGTCACAAAAGGATATGTGCCTGAAGAGAAGATTTTATTATTTCATCATTGTACTAACTCCTTCCAGATCCCCCTGAATCATGAAACAAAAAACTGTCTTATCGCTGCCGATCCTACCAAAGTCAATGTCGAGGAGAGCAGCGTTGGCCCCTTCAACCAAAATTTTCTTTGGAGATCCATGAAGAGCTTCATACATGTAATAGACCCCGTCTCTCACCATCGGCCGCAATCTCTCAGCGTATTCCTGCACGAAACAAGGAAAACAGAAATCTTTTAATGATGGAGAGAACAACAAGAACGATGCATCACTTTTATAATTTCAATCAGAAATCAGAGTCTACCTTGAGTTTTTTCAGTTGGTCCTCAGTGTCAACTGTCAAGGTTGGGTACATGGATTGATACTGGTGGACAAGGTTCTTGAATCTGAAAGGAAATTGTGAATTATGTCAAAACTGTATGTAATATTAAAGGTGTGTGGCATATTCCTACAATCCCTACCTCAAAGAAAAGTCCTTGAAGTCACCCAGGAGGTCACATACACGTAGGCCGGTGCGAGATGCTTTGCTGGAGTATGCCGGTCCGATGCCCTTCTTGGTTGTTCCAATGCTGTTATTATGAAACACAAAGAGAATAATGTAAAATAACGTACAAAATAAAAGTAGATTTGTTGTGCCTCCTGTCCTTACTTCTTTCCTTCTTGTGCTTGTCTCTCAGTTTCCTGCAAGCCGTCGACAACCTGGTGGAAATCAAACACTGAGGAGAGACGCAGAGCAAATCAATACGGGGCAACCTTCACTCTCACACACATTATTTATGCTTAATTGAATAAAGTAAAGCTCTATAAAAATGACATATAGTGTACATACCAAGGTGAGCTCTGTCTGAGACAATTAGTCTCTTATCCCAGCCTTTCAGACCTGGTCAGAGAATAGAAATGACATCTATGTGAGTATACACGAATGTTAATTTGCACTAGTGCATTAAGTGTGAGAAAAGATACCTTTCTTTTCATTTTTATCGCCCTCTTCAAACAAGCCGGGTAGATGTATAACAACTCCATTGCCTACAAGAAGAGCAAAGGAAGACAAAAGACTCAATTGCACTAATATTCTTAACCATGCTGGCTCTGTAGCTCAAATCAGGATACTGAAGCCATTACCGATGAGTGATATGCTTTTGGAGTTGATGATTCCACTGGGGAGAAGGTGGAAGTCGTACTCCTTGCCATCCACGACCACTGTGTGTCCTGCATTGTTGCCGCCCTATAAATCAAAGCAGGGTACGTGTTATGATAGTGTCAATGCTTTGATGACAACACAATCAGATACAGCATGAAGACCACCACAGAAGTCTCAGCCACACACACACGTCTCATCTGATTTTCCTGAGACAGTGATAAGCCACCCTCTTCCCAATTCACAGATCTTTTCCAGCACCTATTTTAACAGACTTGGCTGGTGCTGGTGGACCCTCCGCTCTGTTCCCCCTGGCTAAGTCCTGGCCTTCTCACGTATCAAGCCACCCTGAGAATGTGACCTCTCTCTAGCCCAGTGGGTGGGGCTCTCAAGCCTCCAGAACACAGGGTGCTAGTCCTGTCAGTGAGAGCAAGTATAGGACAACAAGTGCAACACAGCAAATGCTGGCAGGTTTCACTGTGAGTCCTGGGTGTTTGAGTGACCTCTGATTTCTGACTGGAGGGTTATGTGTCCCATGTGAGTGGACAGAAACTGACCTTTCTGGAGTTATTTTTAATAAGAATTCAGAGCATCTCAGGTTCAATGTCTTTGTGATCTGCAGAGCAACTAAGCACGAATTCAATCAAGCTTGTAATTTTAACATGCATTTGCTACAATGATAGGCATTTGGCTTTTATAAAATGTTTTGAAATTTGAGTTTAATGGGCACAATTCCCCTGTTGCAGTATTTAAATCATTGAGTGCACCGTTATGAAACCACAGTGCATGCCCAGTATGGATCATTATAACAGTTTCCCAGCTAATAAATAAGGTATTCAGTTAAGTATGACAGAGGTTAAGGGTTTTCACTCTGAGCACCTGTTGCGCTTTACCACGCTGCCAGTTACTGACAGATCCCATCATGATTTCAGAGGAAAAATGGCATTCAACAGAAACACAAGGACACGCCTCTGTGGAGGCTCATCTGAAATCAAGAATCCAAACATTTACCTGACATCTGCAGACAATATCCGCTTCGGTCGCCAGCAAATCGACGACTTTCCCTTTGCCCTCGTCTCCCCACTGCGCGCCGAGCACCACCGTCACTTTGTTCCCCGCGTCGTTGCGCGATCGCTTCTGTCCGGCTACGGCGGGTTGATTCATGTTTTTTTGGTCTTTTGCCGACCAGGTGAGCGACATGATGGTGGTGGCTTTAGCCTGCCCGTCTCAAGAAGACTAAGCAGGCTCCCAAGAGTGGCATTGCCATATCTGTAACCTCATAGCCGATGATGTCAGAGCCAGACGCACAGAAGTGCGTGACTTGTCTCCAGGGCTGTTAAAGCAACGAGAAAATAGCCTTTCCACAGCACTCACAGGGATAACTGGAGGCAGATCCACCTATTCAAAACCTATTATAACATTTATTATATGTAGCCTGCATAATTCTAATTGATTATGTTTGCCTCATTACCGCCATCTGCGTGACATGGCTGATTAAATACACACAGCTGAACAGTAAATTCACTTTTATTAAAATATATCTAACATTAAAAGTTACAATCAAATATGTAATGTCCTTATATTTCCTGTTAGGGTTCATTTGGATAATATATAAAGAAATTAAGACATGACATTCAAGCAGTTTTTTGATGAGTTAAATTAAATATCTTGCACCAACAACACTGCATCTTTCCTTCTGTAGGTGCTGTAAGGTAAATAGAGCTTATGGCAAAACACATTCACTGCATATTACAACAATTATACAAAACATATAAAGCACATTCAACTTTTTTTTGGGAACAGTTTTTGGAATCCAACCACTCATATACACAAAAACTTCATTTACATAAAGTGACTGTGGGCATCCATGCTGTGAAGATCCCAGCCTTAGATGTGTTTATTCTTCTGGAACAAATCACTGCAAAAGGAAGACTTCTGCATCCTCTCCAAGGAGTCAGTGCTCATGTGGGCTCTCAAAATAAAACAAGTCCTTCCAGTTCACAACTCTTGTGTTAAATTAACATGTCCTTCTTCCTCTCGATTTCCTTTTTCTGGAGTCACCTACAGAAACAGAGACTAAAATGAATGAAGGGAATCAAGATATATCTCAATAGAAATACTTTAATACCTTTAAAATTATTATATTTACAGTGGGTTAAGAATTTATTCACGATTGTCTTACAAACATGACTTTAAAATCTTAAGATTTTTTTTAACTGTTAAACATTTTTAATGCATCACATACAGCATCTTTCATCAGCACAGTTTACAGGAAGCACACAAGACTGCATTAGTAGATTAAAAACGGTCCCGGTTGTAGATTCGGGGGGGAATGGACAAGAAAATATGGAAGGAGAGACACAAAAGCGAAGGCCTTTATGAAATAAATCAAGTCCACGATGACTTCACAATGACTCCACAAACTGAAAGGCTGTTTGAGAATACAAAGCTGTGATATTACATCACTGAACCACTCATTAAAAAAGGATTAACTGCTGCACATGATGTTATTTTTAGGGTTAGTTTTCCCCAGGTTGAATGGACATTAGAATCACCTCAACACACATAAGTTAAGATTTGGGCCTGATGTTAACTTGATTGGAAAAGTGTTAAAGAGTGCAAGTGTTAAAAGCCGGACAACAGAGACAAATGAAATCCAGATTCCAGTTAGACTGACAAATGACGTGTTATTTGGGACAAAGCTTCGACGGTGATTGAGCTAATTAGGATGATGTTCCTGCTTACAGTTTTGCCATCCCATCGATTTGACCTACCTCACTGCAACACACAGCCCTTTTTATGTTTACTGTGTCCTTTCCCACTGTTACCTTGTGTTTCAGAGAGTCAGAACGGAAAACAGAGCATTCAAACAAAACTGTCCATAGATTCAAATCCATTCAATATTAAATCTGCAAATCAAATGCTGCACACTGCATCCATACTCTTTAATAAAACGCATGCTGTCATGCTAATAATAAAAATACTTATGAACATACACTAAAATAGCCCATACATAAAATATAAAATGTTAAATGCAATAAAAACAAAGCAAATAAAGATCTCCCTTTTAGACAAGTCAAAAGACTAGCATTCCAAGCATGTGCTTTATTTAAGTTGATGAAAAGATTACCTTGGTTACTCTTCTTTTTGCTTCTTTTAAAGAGGCTGTGTTTCTTTGGTTCAGGCTTAAGGGATGGAGGCACTGCTTCAGACACCGATGGCAGATCATCTGATTCCAGTCCATCTGGAACGTCGCACCCCTTGCTGCCCTCCCTGACTGTGGTCACGTACGTTTTTACAATAATGCATTTCCGTTCTTGTCCTGCAGTCTCTGCTAAATGGCTTTTTTTATTGCTAGTTTCACCTTTCCCTTCTCCCGTTGTATTGCTTTCACTACTCTGTGTCACATTGTCTGTATTAGGTAAAGGGCATTCTTTGATCTGGACATTCACACTAATGTCCGCTGGCTCCACAGGTGTCACCCCCTCAGATGCCAGGCTGGGAGTACACTCTGACACAGCCTCTAGCAGGTCGGTATCTGAGAGGGAAGATGGGCTGAAGACACTAGTCTCGGTGGAATCCACTGAAAAGCCATTTGTGGAGAGACATGGCTGATGTTCTGCTTCAACATGAGGCTGAGGTTGTGTCAAATCTAGTGGCGGCACTGCTGGTTTCTGTGGGTGTTGCCCCTCTGGCAGTGACGTAGGTCTTTCCAGGGGTGTCTGGATGGTCATGGCTGGTTCTCCTGTGGGGGCTTTGGGAGGAGGTGCAGCTGGTCCGTCTTGCACCAAACTCTGAGGAGCTGGCGGAGTCTCTTCTGATGGACTGATGAAGCCGTTCATTTCGCCTGTGCTGGCCTGGTGACCCTCTTTCTGGGGTTTGGTGGGAGCGGATATGGTGGCTAATTCTGCGGCTCCTTCGTCTACAGGCTTGACACTTGATTCTGAGGGGGAGAAGTAGGTAGTATTGATGGTTAGTGTATACACATTAAAAGGAATACTTCACCAGCAAAATGACCATTTGTATATCAATTACACACCCATGTTTCTCGCATGCTCCAGTAAACGGAAAAATGGAGAAAATTCTTGATGAATGTAAGTCATAGAGGCCCACATTCGACAACAGCAACACTATATTCACACTGTGTTCTTCACAACACAGCATGAGTAACTGATATACAAATGGTCATCTGCAGGGTGAAGTATTCCTGTAAGGCCATTATCATAACTGAAATGGGGTGATGTTTCACAGTAAGCAAAGCTGCAAGAAAACAAATCGCTCTCCATGCAAACAAATGCTAATGAAGCTCTACCAAGCAACTAAGCACAGGAGCTAGCTTAGCAAGGTGGCAGCGGTGTTTAAGCACAAATAAAATAGCCTAGAGAAATCAGCTAGGCTGTGTTGTGGCTCGCAGTTAAGCAGCTCAGGAGCGGAGCTAGGAACTGCGGATGGAGGCCACAGTCTCTTGTCCTTACCAGATGGGCAGGTATCCCTATGCTTTTCACTAGAAGGGAGGCTTTCCGAATCGCACCTTGGCCTGGTCTTTCTTAGGCTGAAACCTTTCCTGATATCCGCCAGGAGGTGGTCGATGATGCAGCCATCGTTCTGTGGCACAAAGCCTTTCTTGACTGTTAAGAGATTTAAAGAAAAAAAAAAGAGAGCTTGTAACACATGCTATTCAAATGGCATCTCAGTTAGGAATTTCTAGTTCACAGGGAAAGAAAGCAGGGCTGTTCTCGACTTACTAATTTTTCCATTCTCTCCCTTCTGTCTCTTGGACTCCTCTTCTGCCAGCTGCTTCTTCCTCTTCTCAGCCTTGGCAGCCTGCTCTCTTCTGGTTTTGTTTTCCTGCATCATGAAAGTAAGGATGTCACTCACTGCCAAGTACAAAATGTACGTAGCAATTTGTCTTTGTATCATTTGTGCAGAGACATATCAACATTCCAGTTTCACCACGGTAAAATGACACTGATGTTCTAAAGAAAACTCTTCCCATTGACCCAAGTGGAAGACTTAACCACACACACACACACACACACACACACACACACACAAGTACACAGTGTATTCACTAACTTACACAATATAAACCTACAGTGTAAAAAAGACTACAAACATATATCACAGTCATATCATGACTAAGGGCACTGACACACCATGCCGACGTTTTCCTGTTTCAATGACACAGAATACAGCCGCCTGCTGGTATGGAGTTTTCTTGGCTGTAGTCTTTGCAATGTGTCTGAACTCAACATTTTAGCAAAGACACAGGCGATGTGAGGTGACGCAACAGTTGGCCTTCATTGCCACTAACTATTTGAAGTTGGCATGGTGTGTCTGGGCCTTAACACCCACACAGTATCCTCCCTGACCTTCAGCGCCCTGATGAAAAGTTCTCGGAAAGTCCTGATGGTTCCGAAGAGGTCCTCGAGCGACAGCTGATTGGAGTCTTCACATAAGTAGACAGCCAGCTCGCTCTTCTTCTTCTCAATCGCAGTAAACCTTTCACTTAATGCCTGACATGCCTTCAGATTTTCCTGCAGCAGAGAAACATAAAGACACTTGGATCCAGCTTCCAAAAAACAGTACGAGTTATCCCATTTTGTCGCCATTTGTAGGCAAAGCAGAGAGTATCATCTTACCTCAAGAACTTGCGCGTATTGCTCCTTCACCTCTTCGACAGAGTTGGAGACCTTTTTGGCCGTGTCATTCAGTCGTTTCAGTAAGGCACTGGCTTCTGACTGAACAGAGTCCAGATTAACTCTGAGGACAGAGTGTAAATCATTTTCTTATAAGTGTGCCACTTAGGACCAATTAAAAAAAAAAGGAAGAATATGAGCTGAAGTATTTGTGAAAGGTTTGTATACCCTGCAGCTTTTTGACAGACTTCTATATCATCTGGCAGCGCCAACAGCTCCGGGTGGTTTGCCTCTGCTTCCTTTGCAAAACAAGCCAAGCAGTGGGTAATTAAACACATTCATAACTGAGAGAAAAAAAAAGTTATGGCAGCTGTGAGCCACTTTGTGTACCTCCAGGATGTGATGAAGCAGCGTGATGCGGCTCTTGTTGGCCTTAGTCTCCGTAAGCTTGAGCAGAGAGCTGATCTTGAACCCCTCGGCGTTCCCTGTGTGACTTCCCTGGAAGTAGACCGATGATTAAAAATGCAAGCTCTGTCTAAATGTCAGCTTAAAGTAAAATATACATGAGACAGAAGAGGTGCTTACATAGTTGAGAAAATTCCCTACGTCAAGGATGAGCCTGCAGAAACTGGGCATGAGCGTGCTTGTTCTGAGAGCTGAGAGATTCATTACATGGCGTTAATTTGATGATTATCTTGAGAAACGATGACAACTGCGTGCATGCGTATACAGTTGAAGGCCTATGGTTTACTCACACTGGCAGGCCTCCTCCACTAGCTTGACTTTAGGTTTGAGCATTTCCAACACTGATGAAGTCTCCTCGCACAACAACATGCACTCGATCCTCAACTGATAACTGGGGGAAAACAGGCCAGAAGGCAAAGTAACTAAAGAGCCAAGTATGAGAATCACAGCACTCACATAATTAACAGTTAAAACCAGAACTGAAGTACAAAAAAAAAAAAGTCACCATGGCACAGTGAGAAGGGAGGTGTAGAAGCGGTCAACATTTGCCAACTTGTCTTTTTCTCCTTGGAAGGACTTCAAATTTTCTATCTACATGAAAGTACAAGACAGTGAGTCATACTTGCCATTAAAAAAATTGGACTCTTAATAACAGATACGTGTGCAAACATGTCTCTAGGTAAAAATGGAGAATTGCTCAGGAGTACAAACCTCATGCTTCTCTGGTAGGAGCTTAAGGAGCTGTTTTAGCACCTCAACATCAAATTTACTACGGTCCCCATTCTGAATCATGGCTACAAACTCCTCATTTTTGCTGGACAGAGAAAATTTAAAATACTGAGATGAAAAATGGACCAAACTATATTCCAAAACCATCATCAAAATAATGAACAACATCTTACCACTTGAATTGCTTTAGGAATATGTTCAAATTCAAGTTTTTCTTTGGATCAATGAATGTAATCTGTACAAAAAAAGAGAAGTTAAAGAGGCATATTGATTTTTCAGCTTTGATAATCAGGTGTGTTTGTTCTGAGTGCTGCAGCTCTGAGGAGCGGTGTCGTGTGTTGACCAAGCACACCTCTTTAGGCTCCTTCTTGACAGGAGCAGCTGCCCCCTTGTCTTTGTGCTCGGTCACCGGGAGACAGAACAGCTGCTCGATACTGCTGTAGTCCGGCTCCCGAGGAGGAGGCTCTTTCTGAACTGAGGCCCACATGGAGTGACCATCTGTGTGTGTGCAGGAAGAGAGGAACCTGTCACGAGCTCATGTGGCTCCATTTTGTATCAACATCCTACCATGGCCAAAATACAGGGTAATCCTCTGCAACACCCACATTAAATAACAGCCAAGCTTGGAATAATGGTTCTGTTAATATCAATGTTCTGTCCCCATCAACTATTCTCTGCACAGATGCCTTCTCTCTCATCTATTTGAACATAAAATAATGGCCTGAAGGGGTATATAATATCTTGATGGCTGAAGGCAAAACTTTCTAAACAAAAACAAGAAGAAAAATGATTTAGCTTATTCAAAATTGGCTTGACACTTTTGAAATTAGATTCAGCCAGAGTTTGCTGCCTCATGACGCAAGTGACAGATTACAGTTGAAATAATTTGAGCCTTCACAAGAATGCTGTATCCACTCACCAGTAACTGTGCGGAGTTTTTGCCAGTTGAGCTTTTTCATCCTCAGGGTGGGGCATCGGTGTGCTTTTACAGGTGCAGCACACCCCAGGGCCTGGCTACTCTGAGCCACTATCATGCCTGGGGGAGGTGGAGGTGGAGGTGGCATGCCAGGTAAGGGAGGTGGTGGCGGTGGTCCGCCACCCATCCCTGGTAGGGGTGGCGGAGGGGGTGGGGGAGGAATGCCTGGACCGCCGGGCAGTGGCGGTGGAGGTGGTGGTGGTGGTGGTATTCCAGGCAGGGGAGGTGGTGGTGGAGGTCCCCCAAACCCTCCAGGTAGCGGTGGAGGAGGAGGTGGTGGGGGTGGAGGTGGGCACTGCTTAGAAGTCATACTAGGGGGTAGAGGAGGAGGTGGGGGTGGAGGTGGAACAGAGGCACACAGTGGCTTCTGAGAGGATGTTATGTCTTTGTCCTGATGATCCAAATCAGTCTGCACGGCCTTATCCACTTTCACAAGCTGCCCGTCAACTTCATGATGACCTTCATAGCTCTTGCGTTTGGAGAACATCAGCCGCTGCATGATCCTCTCATTGGACTCCATCTGAGCTGGAGCACAAACCCAGACAAACGCACATATGAACTACAAAAAAAAAAGTTTTCAGTGACCCTGTCAACAGCTTCCTCTATGATCTGCTTTCCTGGATAATCACTCCCCTTCACACATGAATCACAGAGAAGGCCATTAAGTAGCCATTAGCCTCTCCAGAGAGTCTACCTAAAGTGAATGTATTGCTGCTTCAGTGCTGACTCACAGTCCTGGGCCAGCAGTATGGCTCTGTTAGTGATGGACTCCAGAGCCAGCCAGATATCAGAGCGGCCCGGCCCCAGCATCAACAGCGTCTGCAGGATGGACAGCAGCTGGAGAGAGGCTGGAGAGCTGCTCACCTGCACATGCAAAAGCATAAACAAAGAGGGCTCGTCATGCTTATTCCTAAGTCTAATAATGTGTACCAGAACCACAAAAAAGAAATCAAAGACTAATGACTAACGAAACGTCGATTCATTCATTCATTCATTCATTCATTTTCTTGACTTCTTAATAGAGTGCTGCAGGAATGCCGTTTTTTTCTTTCATGATTATTGAAGCATAAATGCAATCACCAGGAGTAAAAGCTTCTGTTAGGCTAGCTACACTATGGTTGCATGACTTTATCGTTACCATGAGGTTGTAAAACCGTGTTCGGCCTGATGAGGTTTTGTAGATTCATTTAGCGACTTGTTAGCAACCACCTTTTGTTAAGACGCCTAAAGGCTTCAAAATTGACGAGTGGGGTTCTTACTGACGTGCTTTATGTTGTAGAACAAAGCATGGAAGTCTCTTGAGCTTGTGTTAACCACAGACCCTATTTTAGGCTTCTAGACAGTCAGCTCTCACCTTGTTAAAGAGTGTAGTGAAAACCTCCAGGTGATCACTCATGTCAATGCCACCATAGATCCGCAACAGCTCCTCCTCATCTTCAGCCATTGCCTCTTCAAAAGCCTCACACTGAATAATCAAGTCTCCATCCTCCTGTTCCCTGCACACACCGCACACATCACTGGTGGGGACACTTCATAACATTTAAATGCCATTTTCAATTTTCAAAAAAGCAAAGACAAGGGCCTCAAATTACTGTCATTAATGGACACAAATTGCAAATGTTCTTTTCTAAAAGCACCATTTTCCTTCCAATTATTACGGACTTTAAAATAACCTCTAAAACTGGAACTCAATTTGTTGCGTAAAATCTGCTTCAGAGACAAAATCAAATGTGAACAACAGAAGGAGGGCTCACCTTAACTTTGGCAGAATATCAAGCAACTGCAGCCCTGCAAGACAACAATAAAGCACAGCCCTGAGTATCACAGCACTTAATTATACCTTTCTTAAGAAAGTTTATCTCCAAAATGTGTCACACATGTCTCCACAGTGGCATATAATAGTTTTTGGGGAATTTGGCAGGGAGTCACAGGTGAGCAATCACACGAGAGGAGTGGCCAAACAAATGGCTGATTGGTCCAAGATGGTGGATGGCATTTTAAAGAATTTAGGAGTTTATATAGGTGGAAATATGACATATTTGTCAAAGTGCTTAACCCTGATGCCTCATACAAAAAGCCTGAGTCCAAGTTTAATCCTGTTTTTGTCCAGTGTATGCTCGGACAGACTCTACAGGACATAAAAAAGAATAATCCACTACAGAAAACAGATGGATTAATAGTGAGATACATTAAAATGATCTTATCAAAATCACATAAGGTCAGTGTGATTTAAACTTTAAGAGTAATGATATTTTCTGCACACACATTTTTGGTGTAAAATGCATGACTACACAATGCTTTATACATTTGAGGTTTGCTTAGTTCTTAGGCGTTTTGTCAAAGTGAGAATGAGGCCATTCGACCTATTCTTAGACAGACCCAGTGACAGAGATATTTGTAATTGAGCTCCCACTGATGGCCCGCTTTCCCATCTGCAGTCACTTTCAGCACAGAGGGGACACGCTGTTGCAGTCTACCGCAGTTTGACCTTACTCATGATGAGACTCTAGACTCCTGATGAATCGCTAAAACAGCAGCCGAACAGAGAACCTACCAATAAACTGCTTTCTCATCTTATCTCTCTGCCTGAGGTCATCCGTCCCAAAGATGAGGGCGTTGATGACACTGAGAAGTGTGACCATGTAAGGGACGTTATCTGTGGCCTGCAGCTCGTTCATGATCACGCTGAAGCGATACTGTTGCATCTTCACGCCCTGCGGGGAAAAATCAAAGTCAGTGTAAGTCATCAACTTCATGAGGAAGACTCCACAGGAGTACAATGCTTGTGCATGCAACCCACCACTAGAGGGCATTGTTAAAGGGTTTATCATTCAGAGTGGTGATGTAAGATCATGTGAGGTAAATCCCACAACTTAACTTTTCCAAAAGACAGTATTTTTTTCCATATGTTCATCTACTTGCCTTATAGTGATCCAAGGCATCCAGTGCCAGGGAATGACCATCTGCAGAGAACACGCTGAGGGCAGCAAGTAGCTCAAACACCTGCTTCTTCACCATGGTGTTCGAAGTGTCCAAAGCTGTGAAGCATAATAATCACACACATCAGTTCAGGTTGAGTGCTCAGACTTTCCATTAATTTCTCTTAAAGCAAAATCCCCTGCCTCTTCTCTTTCCCCCATGTGTGTAGACCCAAGCAGGATGCTTTGTTTCACTGCCTTTTGGGAAGCTCAACTTGAACTTTGCCCTCTGAAGATGCCACACTGTACTCAAGATAAACATGTGTTTGTGTCACAACTCACTGTGAGGCTACATTTTTAGGGATGTGTCCCAAAGCAACCCTTAATGACTCATCTCTGTACATAAAGCTGCGTACATGACTGGAAAATTCAGCTCTGCACAGTGAGTCATGGAGGGTTATGACCAATTTCACAAAACATTACAAATGTTACATAATAAGTAAAAAACTCAGGTTGTTAAACATGGTTTTCTTTTGATTTATCTAACTGATTTTAATATCTTGACCAAATAGTTTGCATACTTAAAATATTTTCTGAAGTATCTGAAATGCTTTTTTAATGTGTGAGGCTATGCTGTAATATAGTCACACATGCACACTATGCGGAGAAATGAGTGCAGCGGATGTGATGATTTTTCACAAAATGAAAATAATAGTCAACCTTGGGAAAGCTTCCGGATGTATCCTTCGTTCTCTATAATGAAGTGGATCCCTGCAGAGGAGTTCATGACCGCTCGCACGCAGCTGACACAGGTGAGCTGCAGAAGGGCATCTGCAATGCGAGAGCATCCCCGCCCTGAGAGCCGGTCCAGGGCCTCCAGGAGGAGATCCAGTCCGCTCAGCTCCAGGAACTGGACCATCCATGTCTGGTCACTGCCCTCTAGACGACGCTTCAGCCCCGAGTAGTTGACCACGGTGGGAACTTGCAGCAGTCTGATGCACAGCTCTGGGTCAGCACTCTCCAGGTTGGCCTCCTGCTGGGAATCTGAGTCCTGTGAGGAGCCCAGGCGATCCCTAACTGCCGCCCACTTCTTCTTCCCATCTGACTTCCCTGACATGATGGCTGCGGGGGACAGAAGGGAAACAAGTTCACAGTTTGTGTGTGCAGTTGACAAGAGACAATTTTCAGCTATTGTTTTTTTCAGAGAAAATTTTCAGCTAGTTTTCGACAGCAGATGGCGTCTGTTTGCACCGATAGCCATTGATTTTGTCAAGTACACATTGTCGCCATTGCTATCGAGACAAGAGGAAACAGGCCAAAACAAGGCCTTATCAGAAAGAACAGCAGAATAGGAAATGATAGCTCTGCACTTTTGTGGATGAGCAAAAGATATGTCAGCAGTCCACTCACCACCAGCTCTGCCAAACATTCCTATTTAATCCTGCTTGAAAGAAGGGAGACTCGTTGTCAGCTCGTCAAAACTCTCTACAAAGCCTGGCTCAAAGCCTGGTGTGGACAGCAAGAGTCACAGTTTACTACATAAATAAATGTATTTTCGAGCTCATGGCTGGGATATAAACACTGAAAAATGTGCACAAGGTACACTTGTGAAAAGCTAGTACACAGAAACAACTGTGCAGGAGGAACATTCCTCAACATCATACTGGCATCTGACATTGACATGAATACACACATTGATCCCACAAGTGCCCTTTTCTGGCATAACCTCAGAGCAAAATCCTCTCTTTTTTACCATCCTGTCTCACCCCTGAGCTTCTAAAAACTCTGCACTGAAATGCATTTTACTAGTGTAAACACGTTCCCACATTCTAATAAAATCAACAGGATAAGGTCTCAGACCAAAAAAGGGGAAATCTTTCTCCAGGGGTCTAAAAATACGTTCTCTCTCTGTGCTGGAGTTGTAATATTAGGTGGTTCAGAATAAAAGGACAAGCGTGTGTGGTTCCTCTGTGTCCTGTTGTTGATTTCACACTTGGCAAACATAAGATATACAGAAGAGACACTGAGTGATGAACATGAACAAACACAAAGCTCTGTAAAAAGATCATTCACAGAGCCAGTCTGGAAGGAATTATAGCTTTCACAGGTCCTTTATTTTACAATCTAGACAATAGAAGGTCCTACTCTTGCTTTTTTCCTGCTTCATTTTAGGTTCTACATGTTGGGAGCTCTGTTAACTAAACGCAGTAAAATCCAATTTTGTATTTCTCTCTTTTCAAAAGGTAATTCACAGACGTAATGACTTGTGAAAAATCCAACAAATTGGATTTCTTTTCACTCAGCGGAGTCAAGGTGAAATGAGGCTTTATTTTTTTCTCACATATTCTGGCGAGGCATTTGTCAGCTCTGACTGCAGCATTTTAGTCCCACTGCCAGTGTGAGAGTGTTACCGTGGCAGCGAGCAGGCAGACAATGGTGTTTTACAAAAGGCTTTCTCAGTACTCTTCAAAGAGCTGTGTTCATTAGCCACAAAATGGATGGAATGATCCCTGCCTCCCTTTCAGACTGACAGGAGTTATGTCCAGGAAACCAGTTAAACACTTTCTGATTTGGGAGGACATTTGGCATTCATGTTCAGTGTGTGAGGAACAAAAGTTGCAAGTTGACGCTTGTAATCTGGAGAATTTTCACACAGTCATGGATGCTTGTGAAGATATTCCAGTTTCATTGAGATCCATTAAAAGTTCTATTTTACTGTTTCACATCCTGCAAAGCTGGTATTATGACTAAAGACACGTCTGAGGAAATGCCTTGTGTATAAACGTGACTCCCCAGTATGGTGCAGGAACTTTTCATGAGGAAGGAAAGGACTTTCCCAGTACAGGAAACTTAGCTCGAGATAAACACGCGGGTGTGACAACTCATGTTCCTCTCTCACATTTTCAGTTTCGTTCCTAAGGATGATGATTTGATCCCATAAAGAGGGATATTCTGTTCTTGTGCAAACGTCTGTGTTGTATGTAAAGTGGCGTCAAAGAACAACTGCAATGGAAAAACATCTGCACATTCTTTCAGGCACTCCTCAAATATAAGCAACTTTCCTTTCTCCGACCTTGTCTGCCAGGTCTCCCACATGTACCGCTAATAGCAGGCTGAATCACTGCAAACAGGACAAACCCACTCATCTGTCCTCTGGTTAAACCGCCCACGCAGCAGCCCACTGCCACTGTACAGCATCAACACTTCTGAATGCGCAGAAACATCTCCACTGAATTATTTCCTCTGAGACATATGCAAAGCTTGCTTGCATGATTAATTGGGTTTTTTTATGGAAATGCTCTGTGCAAGTCAGCAATAATAAATGAGTCAATAAACTATAATAGATTTAGAGGAAATTAGTTAAATCTCATGGACCAGTTCACACATTTGTCTCTCTTCTTATTCTGCTTCCTTCCACTGTAACACCACATATTATTTGGAGATAAAGGATGGGGATTATAAAATATTAGATTCTACCTTTTGAGCACTGAAATGATGACAGCGAATCTCATGTTACAACATATGTTTACACATAGCACACATGCTGCTTGGTGATTGCACAATCATAGATGATTATTTAAGTTTCATCAATGCCATAAAGTCTTTTACAGTAGGGTCATTATTACAACATTAAACATCTGGTAGTCATTTATTTGATATCCTACCCTCCTCTGTTCCACACTGCTATTTAAGGGAGTAACCAACATGCCTGTAAAGTCTACAAAATGTTTCTTTTAGTTGCAGTGTCTCTTGTTCCCACTTGTCTGCAGATTTCTTCAGCAATTGTCAGACTGATTTCACATCTGCACATTATCAGAAAAACACTGACAGTGACAGCCCATGTGGTGCAACATACAGCCTTACAACAGAAATCCTCAGTTCAAGTTGATTTTGGCAACACAGTTTGTTTTCCCTCACCGCCGCCTTCCTCCTTTTTCTGTCCGAGGCAAGGAGCTGTAGAGGGAACAACCGATTACCACCTCCGGGATGTATCGACAAGACTGTGATGCCAGGATGCAATTGGCAGTTTGCGAATCTGCATTACGTATTTGCATTTGGCCCATTATGATGAAAAACAAGAGCTGACATAGCGACATTAACGGTGTAACATCATTACTTTGCGTTTCGATTTTTCTCCACATACCAGGGAACATAACGGGACTGGTCACCTTAACGTTACTATAGCGAGTAAAAGATACCAGAAAAATAAGATAATAACGCGTTACTTCAGCTACTACACATGTCACATCTTAATGCCCTGTTGCATCGTTATAGATCACCTATGAGTGTGACACCTTACCTGGTTTTATTCCATAGATATGAAGACACTTTAAGAACCGCCTCCTCTGGTGCTTCAGATGGAAGGGCACTCTGCAGTCATCCGGACAACCTTTTGTTCTGGCAAAACATGAAACATAGACTCCTGAATATTTCGGCACTCAATGGCAGGTCAGACCCTGTGTGGTATGCTGATGGCACTGCGTTCAGATCGCTACGGCCCCTGAGCTTTCACTCACTTGTGAGAGACTGACAGTGTCAATACCGTGGTGAAGACAACAACATTACTGAACTAAGACATCCGGTCAAAACTTTCACAATAAAACCCATTACGGGTATGCCGCAGGTTTAACTGCTGATGCAGTTCCAATGTAGGATCAAGAAACGATATAGCCTTCAGAGTTTTTACCTAAAGAAGACTGTGATTAGCCAACAACTGAACACAGAAGACTAGAAAGATTGTGGTTACGATACCCCCCCCCCCTCCCCACACACACACACACACACAAAAACAGACATATAACAGTAAGTTAAGGATTGGAGTAGCATTGTCAAGTTACCAAGGTTTTAAGAAAACTAGATGTAGCTACCATTAGTTAGCTTCGAAACTATAATCTAGCTAGGCTAGGCTAGGCTAACTGTCAAATTAGTTGCATTGTCCCCTTATAATTCAAGAAATAAAATAAAAGTGCCATTAATGATCTATGAAGTAAACAGAAAATAACCTTTAGCCACAAAAAAGTTATGGTTACGATGAAACTCCTCCTAAAATATAATTTAGAGCATCCTTATGAGGTTACCATGGCTTCAAGAGAACCGGGTTAGCTAGTTAGTTTAGCTAGGTTAACTGTTAAATTTTAAATAAAAAAAATAAAGCAAAAGTGCCACTAGTAATCTATCCAGTAAACATAGAAGTAAGTTAGTCCACAAAAAGAAAAATTGTGGTTGCAATGACACTCCTCCCTTATAGCGTTAACGTTACCATGGTTTCAAGAGAACCGGGTTAACTAACGTTAGCTAGCTACAAACGTTTAGTCGAGCTAGGCTAACAGTAATGGTTACATTGTCCTTTTACAAATCAAGAAATAAAACAAAAGTGCTATTAATGATATGTCGAGTAAACATAAAGAACCTTAGTCCACAAAAGAAAAATTGTGGTTCAATGAAACTCCTCCCAAAATGTATTTTAGAGCAGTTACCATGGTTTCATGACAAACGGATTTAGCTAACTTAACGTTGTAACGTTAGCTAGGCTAACTGTCAAACTAGTTAATGTTATATTATCCCTTTACACAAGTAAGGTATAAGATAAACATAAAATAGTTCATTAAATAAATGTGTTTCCACACACACCGAATTTAGCCCCAAATAAACTAATTAGCAATGACTTCAAATGTTGCAGTGTAGCAGCACATAGCGTTAACGTTAGCTCCCAACAGCTAACATTTGTATGGCTAACGTAGCAGTAAACTCATCACAGAAAAACGTACTTAAAAACTAAAATTATATACACAAAGCACTGCTATGCTAAATGAAGTACCCAAGGAAAATGCTCCAACCACAGATTTGGGAATAAAGGCATTCATGAAACTTACCTGTTTAAAATGGCCTGCACTTATCTTCCTAAACAAAGCTGTAATAATGTCAGTTAAACTCCAACTACTACCGAACTGCTACTAAGTTACTAGCAACAAGTCACTGAGCTGAATATAACAGCCGGGGGAACAACTAAAACCAAAGAAAATGTATTTTTTTTCATTGCATATTTACATGCAAAAGGCTTTTTATGGTCAGCATTTCATTTTGAAGGCTTACTAATTGCTTAACTTCCGGTTTCAATGTGCCTGCTGTTTTATAGCTTGAAGCTGTTTGTGATGCTGAATGCAGCCAGTGGTTGTGGGCCCTCCCCCCCACACTCCCCATCCCATCAGCTGGATCTGACCTCAGGCGGATAGTCCCTGCAGGAGGGAAATTAACTTGGATTCCCTGATTCTCCAAGTCGACTCATTCAAGATACAGAGCACAGTCTATTGTAATCTTCAGTGAATTTGGTTTTATCTGCAGACACAATGTCCAGCCTTCAGGCTGTGTATGGCTCTGACAGCCCCAAAGAGCCTTATGTGGTATTAGACAACAACATTTTTGTCATAACATTAGATTTTTAGTTCTCTCTAATCTAGACCAGCGCACCTTGTTTTTCTCAGTGGAATTGCACATATTTACTCTTAAATAATTGTCCTTTGAATGTTTTAAATCAGAATCCAGAAACCAGACATAATCCGGAGACACCCAGACATAAGCCTAAAGTTTCCGCTCTGATTTGTTTACATGGCTTCAAGGGGTTTGGATTGCAAAATCTTCCACATAGCGCATTTTGATCCACTGCTTTAATGACACAAATAGGGAATAAAGGGGCATAACCCAAACTGTAACTTATATAATACCAGCAGAGCATGGAGATAACAATTCACCCATTTCTCAATAATCTTGGATTTAAGAGTCAAAATGTGCCTTAATTAAATGTTCCTGTGACTTAAAAAATCCTTAAAACAACAAAAAGTTCATGAAGTTCATAACTGCCTTGAACATGTTTACATTTCCCCTTATGCGATAGGGATAATGTTGTTATTGTGACTTTTAATTATTTAGCTTTTTTGAATATTTCTCTTAGGTGTAAGTGTATAGTTCTGCAAAATATAAAGTCATCTTCAACAGACTTTTTCTTTCTGTTTCTGAAACAGACAGCCTCTACTGTCAGAATGACAAGAGGGACTTTTGTTTGGCTGTCCAGCCTATTTTTCGTTGAGAATCTGTTTATCATTCCCCTTGTGACTTGGGGCCATTTAGCTTGCTATAGAGTTTCACCGCCTCAGAGAAGGAAAACTTTACTCTAATTGTATTGTTGCACTGTTTTATGTCCCCTGAGCCAAAAGAGGTTTTGTTAATCTATAGGAAAATGAGGCTTCTATGATTGGGATCACAGAGATATCAGCAGCATGGATACTCAAGTTACAAAGCCAAAGAATATATACAGGGCTTGCTGTCTTCCCAGCCTGTCACAGTGAAAATAATGGCCACACATTAGACCGCTTTGTTTACACGGAGCAACAAAAGCTACTGAGCAAATACTACATCCTCATTTAAGTCCACAATTCTATTGCTGAGCTGGTTGAACAGGATCACGCAGCCCCGTTGAAATCAAGCTCCCAATATTTAAAAGCCAAAGTCAACATCATTCACATTTATTTTTTTCTGTATACATGTATACGCAAGTGATTGTCAGCCCTTAACCTACTAGTCCTGCTGCAAAACTGTTTGCCATATGGGCATCTGTGCGGGTGTGTCAGGCTTTAATACCTGACACACCCGCACAGATGCCCATATCGCAAACAGCCATTTAGTTCTACTGTATTTGTTCTAGGTATCCTGAAACAAAAGAAGGTCAGATGACCACAATGGACTGAACACACCAATTTGTGCATTTTCTGCATCAATTTATGGTGTAAGTATCTTTCATTTTGTCAAAACAAAAGTCCTCTGCTACTTTTGTTTTTATTGGGAGGGACAAATGCACATGCTCTAAATAATCAGGGGTATGGTTCTGCTGCCCCCCTTGAAATCGACGCCTATGACATGCAGCTTTTTATAAGGGGAAATGTTAAAAGACATGTCAGGGCTTGTTCTTGATTCTGCATCAGGATGGATCCCCACTGCCTACAGGAAATGCTGAAACAATGGCTTATCAGTCAGACACAAATACAGCCATATCCGGAAAGCAACAAACAGTTTACCCCTTTTTTTGGAGGTTTCAGTAAGGGTATTAAATAAAATTGAATTCCGTATAAATGCAATTTGTCCACGGGAACCTTATGTGAGAGATACCAGATGTTGATATGCTTTTCAGGCTAGCTTTTTCTCTGCCACTGCAGTGTAGTGGTAACAGTGGTGGAGAAAGATGCTGTGATCTGAACAGCTGATTCTTTAATATTTTGTTAATGTTCCTTTTTTCAAAACAAATAATGATCAGGCCTGTTATTAGTAGTATTCAGTAGTGACCCCCAGGTGCCTATCAAGAAACCTTCAGGAGTCCATGGAACCCAGTTTAAAGCAACCAAACCACCAGAATAAATGTTGGCATTGTATGTTTTTGTACATTTGTACATTTCATATGTAATGGATATGTTGAAATTTTACATTTCCTTATGTTGATTTGACACCACACCGGTCTACAACCCGAAACTAGCCTAGAAACACTATAATAATCTATTCTAAAATACAACTAAAAACACAAATGAGTGCAGTACTGAGTTTTCTGTTTACATTTTACAATTTGTACAAGGTGTTTTCAGGTTAATTAAATAAAACTGAAGGCTTAAGCAGGCTTCACCATGAGTGAAAGCTAAACAAAGGTGGAGCCTGGCTGCCTAAAATATAAATAAAGTTGTAACAACAGCTGTTGTAACATTTCCTGTCTGATCCACCGACAGAAATATGTTATGGGCTGATATTGGTAAACACAGTTGTGTAAGAATTTTTGCTGATGTTGACAGATTGGATTGGAATGAATAAATGTAATACATGAAATGCTGCAGGAGTTTAAGGTACTTTCTAGAGACAATATCGCTGTTACATAATTTGTCCACCAGAGAGCACCATGTACAACAATCTGATGCACCAGAGTTGGTAAATGCATTGCATCTCAACAGGTAGGGAAATGATTTGAATATAAAATGTCACAGCATTTTAATATGTAGATCTGAGGGAACATGTGTTTATGTGAAAACAATAATGAGGTCAAATGCATCATTCACTGTCCCTTCCAACTTCCAATTATACATATATGTAAGTCTAAACAGTTAACAGCATGACGATGCTGTAAAATGTTACATAACACATATGGGCCTAGTAACTGACGAATGGTTGACAAAGCAGATCTAAAAATGGATTTTTTTTAAAACTATGACCATTGATATTGCTCAGATTTATATGGTTAAAAAAATCTGAGTCGACCTTTGATGTCAGGGCTGAAACATACTGTAAAACCTTTCACACCAAAGATAACATTTGTAGATGAAACATGTAGCGAAACATGACATGCCTAATTTATTACATGTTAGAAGCCCACAAAGACATTAAAAAGAGGTTAAAACAATTTTAAAAGGTTCAGACTTATAAAACATATTTTTATATGTAAATATTATGGCAAAAAGTGCTCAAAATCTTTCTGAATTCAACCAACAGCAGCAGCAGCAGCAGAGCG